CATCGGAAATTGGACGTCCAGATTGGACTACATCCGAGCCAGCCGTGGCAGTCATATGCCAGAAATTATATTTAAAATGTAATGCCACAAGATTATCTTTCGAATAAAAAAATTCATGTCAATCGAATAATACATCGTTGTTTTATTGCAATTTAAAGTTCTATACCTCTAAAAAACACCCTTATATATATATATATATATATATATATATATATATATATATATATATATATATATATATATATAAGGCACAATTTTATTACAAGGCACGTTGCACTGTATCGGGTTTCATTTAAAATCAAATAATTTAAATGAATAAACAAATTTCAAATTAAAATTAGGGAAATAAAAGCTAAGCTCATGCACATAATCGCATTAAAACATGATAATAGCTCACCATATTTTGCATTGTATTAAATCTAATTTAATTAGTAGATTATGAATTATTTGTTTGTATTAATTTTATGTAATTTTATTCAAAAGTTCTGAAGGTATATACGTGCTCTTAAGTATCATATTTTAAAAGAAAAATCCTATTTCACACTAACAAAATGTGGAAGTTATCGATAAAAATTGAATAGTAAGATTTTATTAATTCATGAATTTAATCCTTGTCAGAAAATGAGTTAAATGCTTAGATATTATACTTTAAATGTGAGTTTCGTTCTTTGAAAGTAAGGGGTGATTTTGAAAGGTTTATTCTGAAAAGCAATTAGGGGAGTGAATTATGATACCTCCCCACTTTTGACTGTTATCATTTTTAGGAAGAAGTTTAAAAATTTAACAAAAGTCTCTTGTTGCACTTCAGGCTAAGAAGATGCAATTTATTCCGAGCAATTAATTTAATTTTAAGCGCGAATAATTTTCCGTTGCGAGGGTGTGAATGAAGAGATAAAAATTAATGTTTTGAAACAGCTTAGCTATTGTAATTATTTAATTCATATGCGATATGTGAAACACAATATATATTTTTACTTTTATTTCGGTCCTTCTCAAACTTTCAATACGTGCGACATAATTTTCATCACGTCCCCCTCCATACAATAACAATGTATTAAATGCAATAATAATGTACTTTGATGTAAAGCTACAATATGAAGTTGTTTATAAACTGTACAAATTATCAAGTTAAGTATTAAGTTTTACACATTTTTATGTGAAGAATTTTAGATGTGACAAACCCATGGGGTTACTAGTGATTATTAGTAATTATTAAACTTTTTTTTAACTTAGTACTGTCAAAATAATTATCAAATACATTGCGAAAATGTGTACTTTTTTAATGTGTTTTTATTGTGTCAGAATGAATTTTATCTTGCTTCCTTTCAGTAAATTAAGAATATTTTTAAGTTTTTTATTTTCGACTTTTCGATATGCTCGGGCCCACCCCGTAGGATTATCACGCCCGCCTAGAAGGTGCGCCTCACAGTTTGAGAAGCGTTGCTTCTAATTTAATAAAACAATCGGATAATTATTGGGTTAAATAATTTCAAACAATTTCTGAATTGGCCTCTATCCGACTCATAACGCGCACCTCTACTTTCAAGTTGCAATTTTTAAATTTAGGTTTATTCACTATATAACGAGCACTCAGTTTTTTTCTTACGAAGGAACCTGAAATGCATGTGCACAGTGCTTTTCTGTTTTGAAGTCATTGAAATACAACTCTTCAAGTTCATTAGGAATGCATTTCTTTTTAATAAATAGTAATCTAATAAATGTAGAAGTCTAATTTCCTTCTATGCTCATCTCGATGCTTTATCTTTATTCTATCATTTTATATTCTATACTCCTATATGCTTTATCTTTAAAGCTCTCATTTTTATACCCGGCGTATAGCTTACTCCCGTACATTTGGATCATATTTTTTGTGTTATATAAGCTAGAGTTTACGGTAGTGTTAAGTATAAGATACAATAATATAGATATTTTATGCTAAAAAAAGTATCCGAATAAACAAGTAAAACAACTTATTTTTATTCATTTTACGCATACTCGAAAACAATGCACACTTGAGTATGAAATCTAATTATTCGGTTTCAAGATAATAAATGAATAACCAAGAAATTTCGGATAGTCACCAAATTTGACGATAACCATTGCGGTTTGAGTCATCAAATGCGAAACTGTCAATCAACTTTATCTAATAAACTTCAATTTATTTTAATTACAGTGTTGCTAATATATCGAATTACTTCTCAATTACTTACTTAATATTTCTGTGATACTTTTGCATTTCAATATATAATAAAAAATTATTTGGTTTAGGTCATGTTATCAAACGCGTAGGCTTAGAAAAGTTCAACTCTTCTTCTTTTATTACTTACTACTCAGTGCCCATCTTTGGCTATTAAAGCAATAGGCGATGCACTGACTAATAAAGGCGGACTTCTGTGAGAAGTGTGTTCGCGTTGTCAGTTTGATGGTTCCATCATCTCATGCCTGCATGGGGGGATATCTCAGGGATAGAAAGACTCCTATACTAAGTTGATCTACGAGCAAATAATAAGGATAGGTCTTTAACAAAAAGCCTACGACACTTACGGCCCGCGAAAGGATTTGACTGGTGGATCCATGACAGTGATTATCGACCACTATGGTAGCCACGGTAGCCTTGTGTTCAAGATAACAGACTCGTGACATGCGTGTCATAAGTTCGAGCCTATTACCGTTGAAGACCTGCCATGTATGAGATTTTCAGCGTTAAATGTCTAGAGGCACAAACTTCCTCCCTTGTTGTGGTGTGAAAGTCTTGAGAGGGGTGGAGCTCAGGTGTCGTCCTCATCACTTGGCCATCGTTCATAATTACGTGGTCCGTCACAAAAAGCCCTCCAGTAGCTGAATAGTGCGACGTTAATATTTACTCAAACACTGTGCCATTGAAATCTTGAAGCATGCCGACAAATACTTTTAAAATTTTTTTACTCTGAGAAAAAAAAATCAAATCCGGAACCAAATCATTCGGCCGTATTATAGAAACAATCAAAGAGTATTCGTGGATAGATTTTAGTTTATTACAGATAAATAAAATTATTTTAAGCTTATTTTGTATTTAGTGAGGTGGACAAATTTTGAAATAATTAAAAGTGTACAGCAACAGCAACAAAAAGGATGGGAATCCCTGGTTCAAGGGTTACCAAAATTTACGGTTTTTTGCAAACAGATATTCTGTGAGGCACTGTTTGCTGCACCAAAAAATGGTTAGTTAATTAGAGATGAGAGGATGTGGGATAGATGATAGATGAGAAGATGTGGATATTGGAGCTTATTTTAACTACTTAGAGTAAGTTTCTTTAAAAGCATGGTCCCATTGATGTATATCATTAACAATAATCAATGTTTCTCTTTATATAAAGTATATCAGACAACTATGATTAACTACGAGAAAGTAAAACTGTCAAAAGTGAAACAAATAAAGAAAAAAACAACATGTAAGAATCAATACTTAAATTAAACTACAGAAATTTATTGTGAAACAAAGTACGTAAGTAGTATTAACTTTCTCAATCATGCAACAAAACATGTAAAAGAAGGTAGTGGATAGTTATTATAAAACCCGTGAAGGAGAAATTGATCATGTTGCTAAAGTAAATTAATTTAATAAACATATCGTTTAAGTAAATAGGGAAAATGTTAGTTCCTGCAACAAAGCTTTAATTCCCAATGCTGTAAAAAAAAAATCAGGATAACTTAGAAATAAAAATAAATATTTTTGAACTATTCCACACAGAATTTCTAAATTAAAATAAACAAATAAGTGTTTTGATATTGCACTATATATGCCTTATTTCTTAAAATATTTTTTTTAAAATACTAAAACCATCTCTTAGCGCTACCTGGATAACTTTAGTGGAGAATTAATCTTCTTATTCATCTAGTCTAAATTTAGAATCGCTTACTTCAAAACACAAAACTAATTACCACAAAAAATGTGAACATCATTTATATTTGATGCAATTGCTTAACAGCATCACTGTCCATTAAGTTCCAGCATAAACCATCGAAACCCATGTTTACAACGCTCTCACAGATGACATCCCTTCTATATACGCATTAACTTTTTCTTGCCATTTATCATTCCTTAATAGTGATTAGATGAAGTTATGCTGTGATTTATGTGATTCGGAATCTGATTCTGACATTTGACTGGATTAACGACGAGGTAAGATATCGTGCCCGTCCTAACGGATGAATACCCAATCGATCAGCTGAATGCTCAAATTCGCTATTTTCACTTTTATTAAAGCGCTGAGAAACTATTTAGAGCTTCATGGTTCAGATAAGACGGGGGAATTGATTTTGAAACGTGAAGGAGATATTCGATTAAGAAAGTTACTTTTTGGAAGTGTTTCTGGTTTATGTAATGCTGCGGGAGATCAGTTTTATTCTTGGATTGAATTTGACGTTTTAGTTATTTGTATTTCTTTGTGAAAAAAGTGGGGTTTTTATTTTGAATGGACATTGAATCATTTTCAAAGGTAAAAAATGACTTTTTGTTACTTACAATCTTTTTAGAAAAGCGAACTGATGGACTTTGGAAATACTTATACATTGAGAATCAAAAAGATGAAAAAGTTGTAGTATTTTTAAGAATATATAAAATGGTTGAAATTATATCCGTTTTTTATACAAACAAAGACCCGAAGATACAAATATACCGGGACCCTTTTTACATAAGGAAAGAAAAGTATAATATAAAAGATAAAAAAATTAAGTCAATTCCTAATTAGGACAACAAAGAAAATTTTTATTTTAGTTATTTTTTAATAAATAGTTACAATTAATATAAATATGTATATACATATGACAGAAACACAATGTTAAGTGACCAAATAGAAAGCGATTTTTCTTGCAAATTTCCATTTTTCTTTTTATATATGGCGTTGGACTTTTTTTGTTGTTTGTTGCTTCATTCATTCTCTTGTTTATCCACATATTAAATTTAATTAGTTTAATAAAATAGTATAGTAAAAAAGAAATCACATTCTCAGAAATTAGGCTATATCAGGTGGGATTTGGACCCACGATCTTTAGACTAGAAGTCTAACGCGCTAAGAGTTGCGCTACAGATACACAACGGACGATTTTCCTATCTGTATATGCTCTGATGGACTATTACTTTTTTTAATACTATTTATTCAGTCTTTAATTTTATCAATGATTTAATTTTTAAAAATGTATCGGAAATTGAATGGATGAATAGAAAGTATTTTATTAACGATTCAAAATTTGAAAAAGATATATATATATATATATATATAGGGAGAGAGTGAACTAATAGCAGGAATCGAAAAAAGGCGCAGGGCAAAAGTTTATAAGATGAATATTTTCTTTCACACAACTTGTAAACATCCATAAAATTTAATTCCATTATTTTTCGATTGTTTTACTTTTATAAATTCTAAAAGAATGAATTCCTTTATGCAATATTATTTTATATTTCTTAAATGTAAATTTATGGTTTGACCTTATCAATAGTATTTAAATTCTCATGCAATCAAGGGTTGTAACTTACATAAAAAGTACAGTAAACACTAGTTTAGGTTTACAATTGCTTATTAACGTCTCAATATAAAGCAAAAAGAGATCTATTGGCTACGAACCTCGTAATTTTGAACCGTACTCTGTTTAACTCGCGAATATTTCTTATTTTCAAATTCTCAAACATGCATTCTCAATAATTTAATGGATGAACAAAAGCTTTTGCTTGTAAAAATTGGTTGGACATCATTCAAGCGAACACAATTATTAGATGAACATAACTTTTCTTACAATACGAAGATGGGGCAGATGCATCACAAACGTGCATTCATAAGTACACAAAAACATGCGACAGCAGTGCCACTGCAAATAAAGTTTTAACATAGTCAAGCAACGAGGACGACATTTGAGCTGGCACCTTCTTTCTGAACTTCCACACCACCCTATCGGTAGGACTTAGAGCCACGACAGATTGAAGGTGCATTTGCCCCTTTACATGGCAGGAATTCAGTAGCACCAGGCCCAAACTCATGATATGCCGGTAAATTGCGTGTTCATGACTACCAGGCTACCGCTGTCTCACTAGTTGAGGCAAATTCATGGTGAACCATTCCAAAAACTCTATCTGGAATAAACAGTTCAAGCGTATCACTGCTGAATGGAAATGTTAAAAAGAATTCAAACCTTATATTTTATTGACTTATGATAATCCATCAATCATATATCACAAATCATCTCCATAAGCGCAAAAATAAAGAATTAGCAGAAGTATGTTTCTGAATTTTTTTTAATCCTTTATCTACCGCATTATGATTTACTGCAGTTTTTTAATGCAACTTTTTTTGGATCACTACACTGGAAATTTTAAGGGATATACATAAACACACAAAATACTCAACTGTGGGAAATTTAATCCGTTAGAGTTAATTAATTAGTTAAAGATATTCAACTGTAAACTTATTTCTATACACTGTTCAGTTAAAATAAATAGTCAAACCATTTTCTAATGTCTTCATTAACATACAAAAAATATGGCACTTAAATTTTGACATTAGCTGTTCTTTCGGAACAAAAATGATAATCTTCCCAATCCGCTGAAAACGCCATCAGCTGAAATCGCAATTTCTGCTATAAAACTATTCACCTTCCCCGCTAAAATACTCCTCACAGAACCCGCGCTGCCATACATCTTAGAAGAGTGGATTTCAAAGAATATTCCTGCTAAGTATCGTCAGAATATTCGTAAAAATGGTTATTCTATGTAGTTTTAAAGTGAGCGGTACTTATAAGTACCGTTGGTAGAGATAAAGGGTTAAACAATTTATGAATACAGTACCTAAGATGATAGGTTTAAAAAAGTAATACGTACAATTTAATCATTTTCTTGACTCCATTAAATATCTAGTCATTTTTATGTACATCTATCAAAGGTATAACAAAAAACCAGTTTAGATATGAATTTTTTTTATCTAAATAAGCAAAACAGTTAAAATATACCATTTTTTTAAAGGAAACTGAAACCCTTTATAAGCTGTATAACTACACTTTTATTGAATAGTTTGTAATATTCTATATATAGTTTCCTCTTTTTCATTACTATTTTTTTTCGAATAATAAGTCCTGATAATATGAATAAAATGATAATTGATCTAAATATTTATTTACTTTTAGTAATGCTATTTTCTAATCAAAATATATCCTGCTTGTAAATTTTAGAAAATAACTTTTTGAAAGGTTAAAGAGAACGCATCGAACAAAATAGATCTTTCCTTCTATTTCAAGATATTAGAATGAAAAGTTTTTAAAGGATGGCCTATATTTTCTAAAATATTTATGATGTGTGTTGCATAAGCTATTACTGTTCTTTTTCCGAATATGTTAAACTAAAATACATACTTAAAATCATATATAGAATTAAAGTAATTCCTTGAAACTAATTAGGCAAAAGAACCATCAGCAGAATTTCAATGATGAATTAAGATAGATTGCTCACTCAATTAAACTTTCCTAATAATATTTTTTTTAATAAATTGCCTTTTGAGCTCGAAAGTAATTATTTTATTTAAAAGAATAAATTTAATGAGAATAATTGTATATATAGTAGCATGTACTTACAAATGCATATGGCATTTCCAAACAGAAATTCAAATGGTTTGAGAATAATCCATAATTTTTTAGGTCTTGTTAATAAGATTATTTAGACTTTTGTTTCGTTAAATTAACATCATAAAATGTAGCACAGAAAGTTATATGAAAATCATTCGCAAAAGGGTTAATAATTTTAAGTTAAAACGAAAGCAGGATGTTTACATCTAGGCTAAAATATAGCCCCTTAACCTCAGAATTAAGTTTGATAACATCAGAGAGAGAGAAATCCTATTTTTTAACATTTCAACTCAATTTGGAAAGTAGTATACGAACTTAAGACTTTTCTTGAATATCGGCAGTCATAAAACTTGCAAGCGTTCGGAGTCATGTATAAAATATGGCTGGAATAAAATATGCATAAATTGTTATTTTAATCACAATGTGATAGATATTGTTTTCTTGTTCAAAATAATTCGAACAATATCGTCAAATCAAAAGATGTTGTCAAATGCATTGATGGGCGTCCAAGGGTGGAAACCGTTCCAGTGCATGTACGAACATAGTAATAGTAACGATGACAGCCTTTGGCGATATTTTTTGAACTGGCGATGGCATTTCACTTGAAGTAATTGGTAGACGGTAACCAATAATACTTGTTTCTTAAGTCTGCATAAAAGTTAATTTTTTTGGTTATTCAATTAGCCTTTTAACTTTTATGCCCGAGAATATCTAGGGCAACACCTTAGAGCTCCAATAAGTTATGCCCGAGTGTTCAACGGGATAATTTTTTTTAAGTGAGACTTATTGTTATACCCGGATACATATCGGGAGAAGTATATTTCGGCTTCATCTCTTAGTCTTTTGCATTATGGTAACAATTTATGAACACAATTCATTAAAATCCCTTGACGGTCTGAGAGTTAAAGATTTTGACTTTGTGCATAGTGTGTACATAAATAAAAATGTGTAAAACAACATTAAAATAATACTGAGAATAACTGCTTACAGACTGAAAATAGAAATAAATATTTCTGAATAATGTTGTAAAAGAATAATTAAAATTTAAAGAATTATTTAAATTTCTGATTATTTAAATCATGCTTATTTTTCTAAAGGAAAACAATTACATACTATTTAGAAAAACTATATATTTTGTTCAACGATTTCCATCATTTAAACTTTAATTAAGATTATTGTAAAATTCTTTTATTGTTAAAATTTTGATATTTACATAACTGTTAAAATTTATTGTTTACGTAGTTGTTTGTTAAATCTGTAAATATATATATATATATATATATATATATATATATATATATATATACAATATATAATATATATATATATATATATATTATTACTTTAAAAATATAACATCTAAAGCATCGTTATGGCTTAGTGCGAAGGTTATAGTTAAAAACCCATTATTTACATATTGTTAAAATTTATTGTTTACGTAGTTGTTTGTTAAATCTGTAAAATATATATATATATATATATATATATATACATATAATATATATATATATATATATATTATTACTTTAAAAATATAACATCTAAAGCATCGTTATGGCTTAGTGCGAAGGTTATAGTTAAAAACCCATTATTTACATATTGTTAAAATTAACTATATTCAGATAATAGCTAGTGCTTGTGTGTGTGTATACTATTTTTCAAAATCAATATAATTTTTATACATTGTAGGCTTTATTTAGACTTTTCACAATGTGATCCAAAAAAAAAAATTTAATGAAAAAGAAATGTTTTAAGAAAATTACTTTAAAAAATTTTGTTTTACAAATAAATTAAAATGTTTTTCAAGTATATTATACAGACAAAAACTGACTAAACCATAAGAAAGGCCTTCTACTGTAAGGAACTAAACTTTAAATATATGGTTTTACGGAATAATATAGTTTAATAATAAATATATCTTACAAGAACACATATTTTCGGTGTTATTATTACGAAGAAAATAGAGTAAAACTTAATTAACTTAAGATACCTCAAGAAAATAAAGTTTTTTTAAACATGTGAATACTGTACATACGTTAATAAAGCAGACAACAATGAAAAATATAACAAATTTATACTATGTATCCTTTTGCAGACTTCACAAAACATTGAAACACATACAACCATATAATTTAAGTAAACATAACGTTTATATGAATTTTAAGAAACTTAAAATCAAAGATGTATTTGGTTAAGAATAATAATGTGCTGAATATTACTCTAAAAATGTAACACATTATTAGAAGAATTCATAATCAAATATTTATAAAAAATGTACACATGTTTCTTAGATGCAATATATATATAGGGTAATTTAAAACTTTTCATTCAAATTTCGTAGGAAGGAAGGGAATATAGCAGAAAACCGATTTCATATAGGAAAGTATGTCAACAAATGTACTTTTGCGCCTGTAGAGACTAGGGCCGGACAAACCGGACTCTTGCCCGAGGTCGCAAATTTTAAGGGATGCATTTAGATCGAATTT